GCAGGGAAGGGAGAGGAGGGGGCACGGCTGTCAGGGTGCCCCTTCTCCCACCCTGTATGGGCACAACAGGGCTTGGGATGGAGGGAGTTTACTGACTGCTCTGGAGAGTGGTACAGAGCCAGGGCAGGGGTGATCCTGCCTTAGCCCCACTGCACCACCACCCAGGAGCCACCTGAGGTAAGCAGTGCCCAGCTGGAGCCAGCTCCAAACCCCTGCCCCAGTCCTGAACCCCCTCCTGTAGCCCAAGCCTGTGCCCTAGCCCTGAACGCCTGGGACCCAAACTCCCTCCCAAAACCTGTACCCTGAACCCTCTCCTGCACCCCAACTCCCTGCCCCAGGCTCAGCTCAGTGCCCCTTTCACACTCCAAAGCCTTTAGTCCAAGACCAGAGCCTGCACCCTAACCCTCTGCCCCTGCCTGGTGAAAGCGAGGGAGGATGGAGGGAGGGAAGACAGAGTGAGCAGGGACCGGGCCTCAAAGAAGGGGTGGGAAGGAGGTGGGGCAAGGATATTTGGGTTTGAGGTAGATCCTGGATTGCATTTACATTCAAAAAGTGATCTTGTGCTTATAAAGGTTGGAGACCCCTGCTATACAGTATCATAAGCTTTCACGGGCACCACACAGACTAACACTGCTCTCCCCGAGCTGGACTTCCACGAATCAGCTGTTCACGGCATTCCAGCTCTGGGAGGGAGGGGAGGAGCCGGGACGGAGTGCATCTGCGGTGCTCTGAGAGTGCTGGTAGGGAAGGGGGAGGAGCAGGTAAATGTGGGGCTGCAGTGCCCCAGTGCGTGTGAAGCGAATGGAGGAGGGTGGGCAGACGGGGGGCCACGGGGCAGGTGGAACCCCAGGGGTCCGCAGGCTGCTACAGCTCACAGAAATGGAAAGCCGTTCATGTGGCCCATCACTGGCTTAAAGTGTGTGTGGCAGGGGAGAGGGATCCGAGCCTCATCTGGGAGGCAAGTTTGATAGGACAAAGTGTCTGCAATCCAGCTCGGTCTTCCCCTTTTTTTGGCTCTGTCTGTGACCCGTTGACTCTCCCCCCACACCCATGCTGTACCCACTGCTGGGAGAGCCGGGGAAATTCTCCAGTGGAGGAAGGGCAGCTGGCATTACTGCTGCAGACTTCCCCCCAGGGGCTCTCTGAAGGGAATCACACCTTTCAGGTTTCCTGGAGCTCTTAATTAGGTCCCTGCTGGCAAAGGCTGCTTAAGAAGCATAATGACTGAGTGCATCTCCTGGCTGGTCCAGCCCCTCTTGGCTCTGTATTAACTCCTTAGGGGTTGGGCTTCAGGGCCTCTCCAATACAGCAGAGGTCATGGCAGAGGACAGATCCTCAGCCAGCACGTAGGTCCCAACATTTGGGGCTGCATCAGACACCTCCATCGCCCCCGGCCCCCTGAGCGGAGGCTGCCGCAACGATGCAGCTTCTCACAGGAACAGTCAGTGCACTCTGCCAGTATCAAGATGCCCGCGGGCTTTTTATTTTCCCAGGTAACACTACAGAGCTCCCTGCTGCTTTCAGGAGTCACTGAGGTTTACCGCATTCAGAAATTTCACAGCTTCTGTTGTTAGTGGCACAGGTTCCTTTTAGAGGCATTTTGCATACAAGCCTTTCTGCTTCTAGCTGCATTTTACTGTCTCCCCAGGGCTCAGGGGATGTCGAAGAGGTGGAAGAAGCTTTCAGAATGAGAGGGGATCGGGAGGAGATTTGGGAGGAGATGACTTTTTCTAAAAACTGCTCTTAGTCAAGAGAAATATGTTTGTGTTTAATATTTAATGGGTTTTCAAAAAAACAGGAACAGAAAACAAAACAAAACTCCAACCCTGACGCTACAAAAGAGCATTTCAAAATAAAACCTTGTCATTCAGAGAATGCTGGGGCTGGAATGTGAACTGACAGGCGCTCAGCTGGTTTCCAGCCAAGGCTGCCAGACACAAAAGCAATCTGGGGATCAGAGGCGGGAACAGGAGCCAACGTACCTGGCTGGATGTGCAGGACGGTGGGCCCCGTCAAGGTGCATGCAGCGTGGGGTGGCTGGGGAACAAACCTAGCATTGAAGAGGGTTTCCACCACTTGGGTAAAGCAGAGCTCCTTGCGGTGTGGGTAAGTAGCAAGCTGATCTGGTAGCTGGGCCCAGCCATTACAGCAGGACAATCAAGCATGCTAAGCTAGTGTACTGCAAGTGGCCTTCCCAAGTGGGCTGCCCTTCTGTGGACAGTTTCAGTGGCTGTGTATGGCAGGAGGGAGCTGAGTCAAGAGGCAAATGAGGAGAGAGACAAGTGGGGTATCACAGATGTGCACACGGAAACATTCTGCCAGTCTAGGGCAGGGTTCCAAAAGCACAGGACTGCAGGGCTCACCCGGGAGAGCTGCACATGGACCCTGGCACCAAAACCAGCCAATGCAACACGCATTACATCATCAGAACAAACACATGGGCCAGTTGTACTCTGAGGGCAGACTCTTCTGAGCCGCTGCCATTTCCCTCGTGGGCTGTGATCTGCTGGCTTCATACAAGCTCAGCAGCCTTAGGGTGAGTCACTGTTTTGGTGAGAAACCTCCAGAGATCATAGAATACTAGGACTGGAAGGGACCTCGAGAGGTCATTGAGGCCAGTCCCCTGCCCCCATGGCAGAACCAAATACTGTCTAGACCATCCCTGACAGACATTTATCTAACCTGCTCTTAAATATCTCCACAGATGGGGATTCCACAACCTCCCTGGGCAATTTATTCCAGTGTCTGACCACCCTGACAGTTAGGAACTTTTTCCTAATGTTCAACCTAAACCTCCCTGGCTGCTGTTTAAGCCCATTGCTTCTTGTTCTAAGTTTTCTCCCTCCTCCTTGTGACACCCTTTTAGATACCTGAAAACCGCTATCATGTCCCCCCTCAATCTTCTCTTTTCCAAACTAAACAAACTCAGTTCTCTCAGCCTTCCCATATAGGTCATGTTCTCTCTAGACCTTTAATCATTCTTGTTGCTCTTCTCTGGACCCTCTCCAATTTCTCCACATCTTTCTTGAAATGTGGTGCCCAGAACTGGGCACAATACTCCACCTGAGGCCTAATCAGCACAGAGTAGAGCAGAAGAATGACTTCTCGTGTCTTGCTCACAACACACCTGTTAATGCATCCCAGAATCATATTTGCTTTTTTTGCAACAGCATCACACTGCTGACTCATATTCAGCTTGTGGTCCACTATGACCCCTAGATCCCTTTCTGCCGTACTCCTTCATAGACATTTGCTTCCCATTCTATAATTTAAGTGTTGCAGACAGTGGCCCTGTGCGATCAAGGACCTGACAGCTGGGTTCATTAGAGAACTCTTAATGCCCCTACTCTTGCAGCTAGAGCCAGTGTGTGGTGTTTATGGGGAAAACTGTGTGAAAATGACAAGCTATGGCTTTAATTTGGAAATAGTTTCCTGGTTGGGATTGCAGGCTGTGGGGCTCTGCAGGGAAGTAGGTGTGATCCAAGTCCACCTGCAGAAAGCAGCCTGGAGCAAAGTGAGTTGACTGGTGTCTATTTGGTTTAAGGAGCAGCCTGCTTTGTCACTTTTGGGTTCTTGTGAATAAGGATTCTAATGTCTACATCAAATAGTGTTTAATTTAACTTGTGCCTGTGCTGTGAGCATAAAACAGTCCAGCTCCTGCAGTCACATTCTGCCTCTCTAAATTCCCCAGTGCAATATCAATCGAGTATAGTAGTCTTCACTTCCTGTCCTGAACTGTTGCGTAGTATTGCTGGGTTCCAAGATACGGAGGGCTGCGTGGGTTGGGGGTCAAGCGATCCCACACTTGCCCACACGGGGTTACTGTGGAGCGTGGCATCTGTCAAGCTGTCAGGCAGACTCTGCAGAAGTGCAAGCATCAGATTCTACTCCATCGTCTGCCACAGGGAAGTGAGCCAACACTCTTACCTGAATGGAACAGTCATGGTCCATTAAGCTGCCGTGTAAGGAAAAGCTTATGCTGGCCTTCTCCTGTCATCCCAGCTACTTCTTGCCACGCCCTCAATCCCCATTCACTTGCTTAGATCTCCTAACCTTCAGAGGCTGCATGGCTCTGTCTCCAACTCTGTTCTTTCCTCCTCCTCGCAGCTTCTTTTCTTTCACCCTCTCTCTGGGTGACTTCTTCCCTGCCCACGCCTCTGCTTTGAAATGCCTCACACTTCCCTTGTGCCAGCCGTCACCTACGCCCAGCCTTGCTGCAGGGTTCTCTGCCCTCTCACATCTGTCCCCCTTTGCATTAGTTGTGTGGGCCAGGCCTTAGGGGCGTGTTTGTCCATGTCCCTTAATCAATCACCGGGGGGCAGGAGCTTTGTTTTAATGAAGTAGACGCTGCGCATTTGCCACGAGCATTTCTGACTGCCTGGCGTTAACAGCCTGAGCCTCTGCACCCTTGTGAGGTTGAGACGTATCATTATTCCCAGTTCACCGATGGGGGAAACAGACACCAAGAGATGAAGTCACCTGCCCAAGGTTACGCAGGGAGTCCGGGCAGAGCTAGGACCTGCAAGTCAATCCATCCTCCCGCCTACTATTTACAGAGGACCACGTGAACAGCGCGTCTCCTGTTTTTTCAGATCTGATCTCTGCTAGACATAAGCAGAATATGCAACTGCATAGGAAACCATGAAATTTGGGGCACCACTGCCCCAAATTTTATGATGCCCTAGGCAGCTGCATGTTGTGTATGGCCGGCTGACTCCAGCAGCCAGCCCCAGTCCCCCGCTCCTCTACAGGCTACACTCAGCTGCCGCTCACCAGACAGTGGAAGGGGAAACTGCTGCTTGTCCCTGACCAGCTGCCCCTGCTCCACCTCTGGCCTGCATCTTGCACTGCTCCCTGCCTGCGCCTCCCCTTAGCCTCCCTCCCCTGCTCCTGCCTCCCACAGCCCTGGGCCTGCCCCCCGCAGCTCCTGCCCCAGGAGCCCTGCAGCCCCTGAGCACAGTCCCCCCCATGGAACAGCCAGCCCCCTACAAGGACGGTACCTCAGGTACTCAGGCTGCACAGGGCACCAGATTTCATAAGGTCGGCCTTGGCTGATGGGAAGATGATCTGAGAATGAAATACAGAGATGAGCCTTTCACCATGTTTTTGTTCTGAGTGATGCATGAAGTAGGATTACATGGAATTTCCCTAGTGGTGAGATTGTGGCAGGATGTACCAACCGGGCACTGGACCTGCATGGGTGAACTCTAGTTCCCTGGCCGAGAGAGCCCCACCCCCACAGCCCTGCTGGGCATGCTCCAGCTGGAGGACAGGTATAAAGGCCAGTAGAGCAGCTCAGGCAGGGCTGATGGCCACCGGGGAAGAAGGTGGCCAGAGCTCTGGAGGAAGAGTGAACCAAGGGGGCCAGTCAGTGGGGAGTAGCTGGAGAGGCCCCCACTCTGGAGGATGGTGGTGAAGAAGGCAGCTGCGGTGAGTCCAGTAGGAAGCAGCCCAGGGTGGGGAGTTAGGTCCCAAAGAGCTTGGTGTGTTTGGGGTGGATTCCCTATTCCCACACCACTGACAGGGCCCGGGTGGGCCCAGCTTTCCCCAACCCCATCCCCAGTAACCCCCAAGGGGGCTGGTACAACTATGATTGGTGACTTGGGTTGCTAGGCCATGCTGTTCTGGGGGCAGGGAGCGTTGCTACTGACTCTAGCCACTGGCCAGCACTGTCCTGAGAGTAGCACCCCAGAATTGCAGCCACCTCTGTATTGAAAGGTTGCACTGTGTGTGTATATGCACAAGGTGGGGAAGGGGGAGATTTTGTTTATCACACCTGTGCAAAGCCTTCTCCTCCTGTACTGAAGAGGGAGAAGAGATGCTATTGACTGTATGTTCCATCTTGACAAGTTAGTAGTGCAGGGACTGAGGGCCTGAATTCCCAGTAAGAACTGCTGTCTCAGCCATGCTCTAGTCTCCTTCCCCTCCCCCCTGCAGCAGATTTTTTTTAAGGGCCTCCTATTCAATAGACACCATATCACTCCATCGATCAGCCTTGGAAGGACAAAGCTCTGTCCTGAGCCTGCCAGGATTCGAACCTTTGTTTCCAAAACAGCTGAGGTGTTGCCTGAGAGATGCTTGTGTTGCGGGACTCTGGTACAGAGGCTGGCCACAGCTGGAGATGGATAGCCGATGGTGTGACCTGATGCTTCGGGGTGATGCAGAGAACCCTCTTTCTAGCAGCCGGTCTGGTGAGTCTTGCTCTCATGCTCAGAGTGAAACTGTTCCCCAGAGTTTGGGGTCAGGAAGGAGCTGTCCCTGCCCCCCAGGGCAACTGAGCAGGGACTGGGTGGGGGACACATCAGAGAAAGCAGTTCACTTTCTCCTGCAGCATGGGACACAGATCTTCCACTGGAGTCAGTGGAAACAT